ATTCTTCAGGCATACACAAGTTAAAGCAGGCTTAGTATTGAGTGAAGTGAAGCTAAAAGAGACAGCTCATACAAGATTGACTTGGTGATACTAGGTCAGAAAAAGGAACCATGACTTTTGCTTAACAAAAACACACTTTATTGATGAGTTGTCTTTGCCTCGGTGTGAGCATTACAGTGTCTTTTACTGTCTTCCATTTTAATAGCAGCATCATGCACACAGTTCTGTTGTTAATATTGCAGAGATGGCATATGTTTGTGGGTAAGTAATCTGCCTGTTTACAATGCCATTAGGAAACCGCTGACTCCACCAGTTCACAGGCTCGTTTAAACCTTCCTCTGCTTCCGACTTGCTGAGTATTTGGTATTCAACACCGTGCGAGTGATTTCCTGCAGCCTCACTAACACAGGTTGGTGGGTTGCTAAGGAATATATCTCAAGAGGTTAAAAGCCCTGCAGTCACCTTGATCTCAGTGCCAGTGATTATCTGTGTAACTTTCTGCTTCATGTTTTATACTGCAGCACTGACCAAAGCTTATGTCTGTCCCTTGGCATGCATAAGTATGAACAATTATGGCTGTAGATAGAGATGTGCTGGTCGCTTTCACAGTATAACCTCTTTAACATATTATTATAAATGAAACATCATCATTCAACTTAAAAAAAAAAAGGAATTAAAAATAAAAAAGCCAAGTGAGATCAGTTGGAGAAACAGAAGAGATTTTTTTTCTCCTAGGTCATCCATTTTGGGTTCTTTTCATTGTCTTTGGCTCATAGCCTTTTCAGTACAAATGCAGGACAACTGCTTCACAGCCAAGAGGACTAGGAACTGCCTTTATAAAACCCCAGACCTCTAAGGGTCTCACATGATGTCTTGCATCGTGAGCTGTTAACTCAGCAGTCACAGTGAAGGACACTTAACCCCAGGAGCTACAGCATGTTGCTGCTGTGTTGCCTGTGCTGCCACAGCTGCGGGCAGAATTTCAGGGAGAGAGAGAGAGACACAGATCATGGATATAGAAAAGGATCCACATCAAAATTTCCCAAAGCTTTAAAACCACCCTCCTTTACCTGTCTTCTTCCATAAGGGTCAACACCTACAGATAAGGTCCTACAGTGCCATTCCCCTTTTGTTACTTTAATAGATAGCATGGAAGGATAAATGTCTTTCCTCCATGACCAACACCTGAATTCAGTCAGCTTTCTTCAGGGAGACTAAGTAATGGAAAAGGGAAAAAAGAATTGAGCCTGTTGCTCTGTTGAGAGCTCATAGCAGCCCATCCACCTCTAGCACCTCTGGGTGCTATTCCTACCTTGAGGGTGAAGTAGCTGTTGCCACATCTTTGCCAGTGGTCCCAGGTAAGGAGTCCCTGTATGTGCAGAACTGGCTCTTTCCCACTCCATGTGAATGGTACTTCCACACAAAAATGCCTTTTGCCAATGCAGAGAGATCCCAAATGGCCTGTGGGGAAAGTGATTCCCTCCTACCTCCTGCTGGAGTCCCCAGCACCCATATCCTGGGACATGGGACTTAATTAACAAGGATGCCCTTGAATTGTGTCAGTTTCACTTACAATAAACTCAGACTAGAAATGTAAGCAGATCAGCTCCTGTTAGCCTGTCCATTGTGCTAGCAGGTTGCACCGTTAGAAGCCACAATATGTTGCATCTAATACTGTTATGTCTTTAATTTTCACCAGGAGAAACCCCAGAGAATCCCAGCCACAGGGTCAGTAACCTTTTGGCAGAGAGGTGGATAAGAAGGACAAATTGGATAATGTTTACTGTAGCTAAAGCCATGTGTATGCCCGTTTCAGAGGCTGACTGTCATGCAACATACAGAATAACTGCAGTTACTGCTTATCTCGGTAGCAATGCATGCTACTGAACCAAACCATGCAAAAATGCAAAGCACCTTAACTTTAAAGTTAGAGGCAACGCCTGCAGCAGATCTGTTTAGATAGCTTCAGCTGTAAAACACTATATGAAAACTTCTGGGGTTTCTCCTGGTGAAAATTAAAGACATAACAGTATTAGATGCTTCTGAAGCAATTAAATATTTTTAAAAGGTAATATAAGCAACCCATACAAATTTACAAGAATTCATAGATTACACTGCCATGTGATAACCAGACTCCAAACTGTGTTTCTGCTTTTTTCTGCTCTGGTCCCACAGATAAGCATTAGACCATATGGGTTGAAACTGTCATTTGCAAAGCTGAAGGAACATTAGAAAACAAGTTCAGTTTCAAGACAGAAGTTACCTAAACAGAGAACAGAGAAAAATAATTAAATTCTTAGGGGCTTACTGATGTGCAAAACTGTTTCTCTCAAAAGAGAAGTATTATCCAAGATGTTACACTAAATCAAAAAAATTAACAAACAAAAACAAAAACAAACTATAAGCCACATTTTTCAGCAATATAAAAATATTCTACATAAAGAATGCTGTGTGATAGGATCTCCTCAGTGGTACTGTGACAGAGAGAGCAGAAGGTAGGGAAGGAAAGAAACAATTGGTTGCCACACCAGAAACCCTTTTCTGCATTTTCCCTGCCCAAAACCTCCACAGCCTGCAACTACCCTCATCTGAGGAACCTGTGAGCCTTTCCCAACCAAGCCTACTGACATTTTTCCCTAACATGCTCATATCTCTGCCTGAGTCCTCTCTTCTTCCTGTGCCCCGTCAGTGCCACCATTCCCAGGGATGGCTTTGAGCCGTCTCTGTCATGGCATTTGTATATGAAAAGTAAGTCCCACACTCTGAAAGCCCAGTGAAGGGCCAGCAGTCCTTATTGTGTCCTATGGGCCAGGGTTGAGTTGTCACAGAAAAATATAGCTGCCCTTCAGCCTTACTCTAGCTGGTGTAAAGTGAATTATTCTTCATCAGCTTCATGGTCTTCAACCTTGAAAAATTTAATTTATCTGGTCTTTTTGAAAATTAAATTAATGCCACTCCAGGTGAAAGGTTTCATGTGACAGGCCTTTTAAATTTAATCTTTTTTCTTCAAATTGTCTGTTATCTTCTACTTAAAAACACAAATTGAATATTAAGTATGGGCTTATTGCAGCTATTAATCATTCAGCTAAATAAAACCACTAGCAAACTGTAAATAGCTGTAAATAAAATAATGGGTCTGCAATCGGCTACCTCTTAGTTCCATGTAGACCGGCTATGCAGTGAAAGATGAAATAAGAGCTGTTGCATAGTTTAGGGAAAATTTTGCTAGTTTTGTGTTAAGGTAAGATACAGAAACATGATCACTATACAAGGTCTAACTATTATTACTTAATGTTATTTTGCTTCCTCTGACACACACAGCTTACCTGCTACTGGGTTCTAGTCTCCTGGGGCTGTTTTTTTTAATAAGTGTTTCATATAAAATGCATATAGGGCTTTCTTTTCTCAAATAAATTACCAACAGGACTGCAATTGCCCTTCTCACCTGGTGAGTCTCATAATCTTCATTGCTGGTCCAGTATTATGTGCGTAGACAGTATAACTTATCCTATCACTAGAGGTTTGGACACTTGCATCCAAGGCAGATGTGCCAGAGGTGGAAATTGTTCCCTGACTTCCTGCTTCTTTGATAGATGTTTTTGCCAGTTGCAGACAAGGGAAATTGCAAACTCTCAAAATCAAAACACTGGGATGAAATGATTACTGAGGTAATTTAAGCCTGCCAGTTCCAGTTTTTCCCCCTTTTAAGTGGTCAACCTCTGAGACTTGGCAAAGGGAAGAAAAGGGGGAAGACACATTATGTGATGAGGAAAAACAAACCCAAAGAACTCCAGAATTCTTGAACCATTCTTCAAATTATGTACTAAGAAAAAAAATTGAAGACATTTTGCTCAATGTTCAAGAGCAGAAATTATCCAGAAATCCATTCCCTGTGAAGACAAACTTCATTAATATGTAGCTACCATCATTTATTTTCCTTTATTTTCTATGAATGTTTTATTCTGTGCTTTGTCTTTCTAACTCTCTCCTTTCTACCTTTCTCCTCTCTTATTTAAATCTTCTCCTTTTTTGTGATACTTTCTTCATACCTCTCATCCTTTACTATTCATAATTGTCCTTCTCAGGCAAGTAAAAAACTTAAGGTTTGTGTTACTAGTCCTTCATCAGGCAGAGTACAAATCCTTTGTGAGTTTTCCATGAAGATCTTTTATTAGCTCTTTGGTTCTGTTTTTGTGGATGTGTGAGTTAGATTTCATTGCTATTTCTTCACTGTAAAGGCAGAAAATTGCTAATGGAATGCAAAACTAGGAAGATCAATCTAGGATTGACTTTGCAATTGACAGCTCAAAACCAGTTTTTCCCTGGACCTTTGCATTTCCTACCTATATTTGTTTCCCTTGATGGTGCCTTTCTTTTCCCAGATTGGTGTGTATATTCCCTTCTGAACCTGAGAGGAAAGGCATCTCTGTAGCATTATTGCTTGAATCATTCATTTTCCTAACTTTTTTCCATTTCTTTTTATGATGAAAGAAGATTTGGTGAACTCAAGGACCAACAGTCCAACGCTTTTCATATTTCTCATAAATCAAATTCATTGTCTTATCTCTGCTCACGTACTCAATCATTTATCAATTTTTCATGTATTTAACAGTCTTCCTAGTCCACTGATTATGCTGTTAGCCCAGCAAAGAGGGCTTCAGTATAAGAGTGCTCACTTCATTTGATCACTCGGAGAATTATACTACAATGATCCTCTAACTACAGAGCTGTTGCACTGTGTTAAAACATTTCTATATGTGCTGTCAACTGTTTACACTGTTCTGCTTGCCCCAGACTTCACATTTCCAAGTATACTACACTGATAGCTGACAACAGCGTTGACAAACATAATGTACACTGTATGGTTGAGAAAAAGAAGTGGAAGGAATTTGAAAAAGGGCTTGGAATGTGAAAGTAAGCCAATATTACCACAAATGTTTTAATCAACGTGTATTTTTCTATAAACCAGTTCATTCTTGTTTTTCTGTGTTTTTCCACAGTGGTTATGTCTTTGATTATGATTACTACAGAGATGATTTCTACAATCGGTATGTGTGGTTATATTTTTGTATATCCTACACCATTTCTACTGTTTGTTTATAATGTAAACACATCATTTGGTTAGATAGGTCTGTTCTGATTTTACATATTATTCATTTCATTATTTCTATTGTGTATCAGAAGACTATTTGAATATATCATAAACAGAGAAGCCTACCACCACCAAATGTATGCTCATTAAACAGCTCTTTTGGTCTTATCCTTCTCTGAGAGCGTTTGAGGTATTTTCTGTGCTGAACAGTTTAAAGGTAGTTTAATTGCTCAGTGTTTCTTCCTACAGAGTTCTTCCAGGCTTACTGTCACTGGAACATATAACAGCTGTAAAATTCTTCAGTATGACACTCGTGTCTTTGTCTTTTCATCCATGTGTATGAAAAGATGTAGAATGTGTCCTGAAAAATGTGTCTTCCAAGAATGTTTAGAAGTCTAGAAGGACCTTGAAGGAAGCAAGACCACAAGTTGAACAGCATGTGTGTTTCTATAGGAGGAAAAGAAGTGTGGATACCTGAGCAATTGGAGACTTGTGCCTTGAGTCTCCTGTCCACAGAGCTAAAAATAGTGAGCTATAAATATATGGTATAAAAGCCATCAATGCAGTTTAATCCTGCTCAGTCCAACCTTGACAGTAGGAGCAGCTCATATCCTGTAAAAAGTTAGCTTCCACAGGTTTGTGTTTACTTTCCCCAAGGTTACTGCTCCGAATTTCATCAGTGGATTTGTACGTTTTTAAACAGAGTGCTGTTTCTGATCTATGCCACCTGAATATTAAAGTTATGTGTCTTTAGTTTTTCCCCTAATTCTGTGTATTATGGGTAACACAAACGAACAACTTTAATGGTTACATTTCCACAACAAAAGAAATACTTATGGGGCATTAAAGGTTGTTTCTGTGGAAGCTCATGTCTATCTTGGTGATTGTCTTATGGAAAACCGCTGACAGTGAAATGTGTCCATAATCTATTCAATAGTATAATTTTCTGATTTTGAAATCTTTCAGGATTAAGACAGCAGAAGTTTTATGGGCAAAAAAACAAATATGAGGTTGGCCTCACAAGGCTGGACATGTTGATCTGTTGACATAAAAAGCTTAGGAGGTTAAAGGTCTCTGCTAGATCCAAATTAATGGAAGTGGAAGATGAAAAGCTTTATGTGGTAGGCATGGAAAAGAAAATCCCATGGAAAGTTCAATGTACTATCAACACGTTTATAAGAAATATAAATTAAGAAATATAGTCATGATTCTTTGAATTTCTGAACTTCTGAACTTTCTGAATTTCTGTGTTTTATCCCAAACCATAGATCTTGTTTTCTAATATTAATTAATTTTCCAACCTCCCTGAAGGGAGAATACACCTATCTTGCCTTGACTAAAGCATTGGTGGGATCAGAAAAGGGTGATAATAATGGTTAGTGCTGTAAAATAAAATCTGTATGAAGACAGATTGACAAGATCAGGACTGTGCAATTTAGAAGGGTAGGTGAAAGAAAAGGTACCATTGTATGTACATTAGTGAGTATTAGGACAAAGAATTGCTTTAGAGCTGAGCATTTCTGTTTATTATTTCTCATCTGAAAACAGGCAGGGTACTTCAAAACTGATAAAAGGAAGCTTTTTTTTAAAGAAAGCATATCATTGAAATGTGTAGAACTTGATGCAACAAAATACCAAGCCCAAAAGCTTTGCATAATTTAAAAAATAAAAGTAAGAATAGTAATATTAGATAACAGTCCTCTTATATATTTCAAAAAAGGAAACAGTTTTGCATTTCACTACAAGCTAGAAAAAAATCACCTTTGGAGGAATAATTGCATAATGATCTTTTGCATGATAGCTTACAGTTCTGAAACATTTTGTTCCAGTAATGTCGAGTGGGAGATTGTGACCAACCAGCAGATCATCCAATATGATAAATGAAGAGTGACAACAAACAATAATATTTCTGTTAAAAGTCCCAAGAATGTTTTAGTGTTCATCTTCATACACAATTGTTTAGTTATGCTCACAATGGCTAGAAACTGCTTATTCAGTGAGAACGTCCAAGGCCAAGGAGTTCAAGTTCAGCGGGGGTGACAGGATCTCTGTGACCCATTTTGTAGGCAGCTATGGAAAAGAAGGGAGCTGGTTATATTGTCTGTAGGATTATGGTACAGACAACATTAAGGATCTTGGGATTTAAGCATTAGGTGTTTACTTGCCAAAAAATGGTCTAGAAGATTTTCTGCTTCCTGTTCAGTATGCTGTTAGACACTGTGGTGAGTGAATTACTGTTTCTTGTGTGTCTGTTTTCAAATGTGTATCTGTCTGCCCAGCTGGGTGATAGTAGTCAGAATTGTGAAAATTAAACATGCAGTTATAAATTTCCATAATTACTAGTTGCAAGTATCATTTGAAAGAAACTCAAAAATATTTTGTGAGAATGTTTCTTGTACCTCTACTTCAGTCTCTGAACTGGAAATTTTAATTTTCTGAACTTTCTTCTCCTGACCTGTCATATTCAGAGCCCACAGCTTTTATGTTCTAAACATATCTGTAGCTTTGATCACCTTTTCTACTGCCTTTATTTTCTTCTACGCAGGTTAGGTAGCTGCTGTTGATAACTCTGTGTTTAAAATTGGGGTATTCTGTTTGGAAACACTAGTTCATTTTGGTTGTAGAGTATCTTTTCTTGACTGTAGTAGTAATTCTCTGAAAATCTGCGTGCTAAAGTGGTTTTGGTTTGAACAAGACTTTTATTAAGCATGCTTGGGTATTTTAGTGATTTTACATCAATTCATTCTTGAATAAAGAGAACATATGCTGGGACCTCTTTTCTATGCATTCAGAAGGACATACAGGTCCCTCACTATAAAGACTCTTTTGCTATTTTACAAACTGCAGGATAGTTCTTTAGAGTGATGGTTGGCTTCAGAAAAGTTAATTTCTTTTTCTACCTATAAGGATAGCAAATGAAAAACTAGAATTTAAGCCATGCATGTAATAAAGGAGCTGAAATGTCACCACAACAAAATGTACTGCTGTTAGTTGTGTGCAATGAAATGGTGTGGACCTGTAGAAAGCAGGTTATGGATTTTCCATACTGCAAATAACAGAGTTCCATAATGCATCCCTTATTTAAATTATGCAAAAAATCTGAGCTATGCACTAGTCTGTGACTGACATCTGAATATGGCACTTAATGCGCATAGGTCCTTGAAATCTAATTTGACTGTGATATAAAGTGATTACGGCTTCAGAGGGTAATTTTCTCAAAGATAACGTGAAAATGTAGTTGACAGGGCTTCCATGACATGAAATCACAGAAGGTTTTATGGAGTCCAGCTGACTTAATCTTTTCTAGGTTGTTTGATTACCACAGTCGTGTCCCCCCACCACCCCGTGCAGTGATTCCACTGAAGCGTCCTCGTGTGGCTGTGACAACAACTCGCAGAGGCAAAGGGGTTTTCTCCATGAAAGGAGCATCACGATCCACCTCAAGTGGGGCTTCTTCCTCAGGATCCAAATGTGAGTTGCTCACATCAGTTGGATATTATTGAAACAATGATCCTAGTAATTGCTGTAAGCAGACAGCTTCCACTATATAGCTCTGTTGTAGTCATCTCCTACCCTCAGCCTTTAGCTTGAAAAACTGGTTTGATTACCAAAGCTGCCATGCCTTTCCTGCAAGTCAAAGAGCACACTGATGTAACTTTTGAAGGAAATCCCTTCCACAACATTTGACCTACAGATCACTTCCTTGGCCTCAGAAGAAGCCTGTTTAAAATCTCCTATCGTCCTGACTGCTTATGCACCATGAGGTCATGTGAACAGCTGATAATAAAGCAAAGCTAATATTCTTATTATAGACAGAGGCACACTGATTTCTGTTGAGACTTGAGGATTGTATATGAGCTGGTGGGGATGGGGGGTAGGGGGGCAGGGGGAGGCTGGGTTGTGTGTGCTTTTTTTGCCAGATTCCTCTGAGGGTAGAAAGAGGCAAAGTGTCTTTGCCTGTTATAAATGGAGGGCAAAACAGTATTGGCAACGGGATTATTCAACCTTTCCTTAATGACTTGGCCTTAGAAGAACTGATGAACAATAGGCATTCCCTCCTCCAAGCTCACCAAGCTCCCCACCCCATAGTATTGTCCTGGGAACTTCATCTTCCTCTCCGTGCATCTTTCAGCACCCACCTGTCTTCCCCTGCCCCTTATGTGGAGCGATACTGTCCTTGGAAGCGTCCCTGGAAGAGGAAGAGAAAAATCAGGTAGGGATCAGATATTAGAAAGAATGAAGGGACTTCAATAAGACACTTTCAGTACCAGACTGGCCGACAATGCATCATGCTGTCTTATACACAACCATGATATAAGTGAATCCACCAACACTACACCTTACTGGAAGAGGGGTTAATTATGTCATCAACTTGAGCCAATTATATACTCTGCTTTAATAACCTATCCAAATCTCACACACTAGCATCTAACAAAGAAGATGGACCTCTAGTGAGCCCGCTAGGATCCATTCTTGATCCTATTGTATGAACCGATGGTGTCCCAAGACCTTGAAAGAAAACATGTAATAAATATGCACGTGACTGAAAGAATGGAAATGTGATAAACAGAGCAAAAGATAATGTTTTACACTGAGGAACAAGGAGCTTGAGCCATTCCTTGGAAAGGATGACATTCTGAGAAAGAGGGTCTCTGTTGGCTGTACAGTCAAACCACACACAAGTCTCCAGTGAATGAATTGGCTAGATGCCCACTACCAGACAGGAAGACATCTAAATTTAGGTGTCATATCCTGGAGCTCACTTATACCCTAAGAGGATGTCTGGGAGTAGCAACGCTTCCTTTGTTCTCTGGGGGATCAACATGAGTCTAGACATTTTCATCCACATCTTGAACTAATCCACCTGTCCATAGCTACTTTCTTCTTTCCTCAATCCTTTAAGTAATGAATTATGGTTCCTTATATTAATTTAAAAGAAAGCATACAGTTCAATATCTTCACTTTAGTAGACTTTAATTTAAATTATTTTCTTAGTCTTTTCCAGCCCTTGAGTCTTTGGGTTTTCACACAGTGAATCAAAGCTTTAGTAAGTGTGTACACTTACAGATTCATTAGACCTCCTTTGTTCACCCTTTATTGTTGTCTTATCCATATGAAAAGTTAGTAGTATCAGTGCATTCAATTCACTAGTTGTCCTAAGCATGGTCTAATAAGAATGGGTTTTTGGACTCACTTTGCCTTGAGAAGATGAATTATTTTCAGATAAGTTTTTATATATATATATTTCTCGTTGTCCAGAACAAGAATAACTCCAAAATTCTAGAGAGCTGAGGACCTTAGTATATTCCAATAGATGTCAAGGAAATGTCTCACCCAGAAATCTGAATTTCCATTGTAGTGAATGGAACAGAGAATATTACATTAACGTAGAGATATCTGATCCTTAGAATAATCATCAAATTTGCTTCATTTATTCTGCATTTCAGAAAATGTTTCATAGTACCATGTCAGGATTTAAGTAATGCATAACGTAGATTAAAGGATTCAACCCTAGACTAAGTACCCATAGCCACTTGCTAGAAGACCTCCAAAACACTGCCTGCATAACATGGCAAATGTTGCAGAACCTGTAAATTATTTAATGGAAGTGCAATCAGGAGTGTAGAGATCCTAACAGTGTTATGCTCCTTCAATGTATTCAGGTGTGATGTGAATTCTAAAAATGTCAGTCTTAGAGCTCCAGGTGACAAGAGCATCTTTGGATCCAGCTCTTTAACACTGAAGGGAGAGCTGCAAGATGCATCACTAAAAACGTGGGCTAACATTTTGGCCTCTGTTGGGTTTCCACCCTCAGTTCTTTACAATGGCAATTGGAACACAACTGCAGAGACCATTTATCATGCTGGAATAAATTGCAGAAAATATTCTTTCTGCATGCAGCACACCTTTAAAAGGAGTCAGACACAGAGTATAAAGACTTTCATGCTTGATTTCCCCATTGAATTACTTCCCTTTTTGTCAAGTCTAACCAACCCATCATAAAGGTAGAAACATGATTTTGTTGACTTGGACAGGAATGTAATCAGCTTATTGCAAGACGTTTATCAGAGAAATAACTGAGCCATTTCCTTAGGGGCTTCAAGTTGGAAAGTAGAGAATGTGAGTTTTGTGGCTTCTTTTGCCATTTTATTGGAAAAGTTGGTTATATTGAATTGTGGGATGAAGCAACTTAGTATTTTATTGCCCCTTACTCTACACTGCTAATCTGAACCCCTTGAACCAATACACTGTTGATTCTAATTGTAATTTATTGCTAGTTAAATAAAAGATCTCTTCAATAAGGAGAAACACAGTTTGTGGGAAGTATTTTGGGTTCTAATGAAATTCAAGACCATAAAACAGCTTAGTCACAGGTTCAGAATTAACTATATCAAAATGGTATTACCATTGAAAGATTTCACCCCCAAATAGCAAAACTCTCATGAGATCACATCCCCTAATAGACTTTTCAGATTTAAGTAGAAATCTCATAGGCATAACTGTTCTCATAGCTGTTCTCCACGCTCAGATTGGATCCAGAAAATGAACCCATACATGTAGTATTAAAGGTCAGAACACAGGGGATCCCTCAGTGAAATTATCAGGATTAGAGGGACTCACTTCTGAAAACCAGCAATCCAAAGACAGAAGTTTGTTGTGGCACACAGCAAAGATGTTATAAAAACATAATACCAAAAATGCCTTGCTCACTGATGTATGTCTGCAAAAATAATGTCTGCCCTCCAGTGCAGTAAATTCTTGTTCTACCAAACAGTGGCAATATGTGTTCTAAGTTTGCTTCCAAAACACAAAATAAGTTAGGAGGATTTTATTTCTTTTCTGAATCTATAATTTTTCAAGGCTCAGCTGACAATATTTTGTTTTCTTTTTAACTCCAAAGACTAGAAAAAAATAAAGAAACCTTTCCACATTATCAGCAGTAACTCACAAAATGAAACATGTTGGTGTGGAAACTACACACAGTAGTTCTTCATGTTAATGGTAGGAAGCAACAGATGCAGATTGCTATTTAGAACTGGGAAAAACTCACTTTTTCTGACAATATAGAAACTGAAGCTCTTGGAGTATGCATTTTTATTTTACACATCTGAAAATAGGAGGAAAACACCAATCAAATTTTTTATACCCTGTGTGCTTGAGATTAAGGAGTAGACACTTAAGATGTTACAATATGTACTGAATTATGCCGTTAAACTTATTCATTTTGATTTGTATAGTTTATATTTAGCTTCATCAGCTAACAAATTTTTCAGTGAAATCTGAAGTAATACAATATGATAAAATATTTTATATTAAACATGAAAGGCTTAAAACATGACATTTCTTTCCAAAGTAATCTGAATCATGTTTTGTGGATGAATCGATTTGTAGTTATGGCAAAAAATGTTTCACAAATATAGTTGTAATTGAACAGTAGCACTTTCATTTCTAAAAATGTGATTTACCTGAATTTTAAATCTCTTGTTTTGAGCTGGATGCAATTTGTCTCCTTTGGTGCTAGATGCTTCTATGAAAGATGCATTCTGGAAGGCCCTTGTATTCCTGGCAGAGGGCTGGAAAGGGTCACTGAATCTAATTCCTTACTGTTGCAAGTAGCCACATCATCTAATCCTTTAAGCTCCATCTTAAAGCTAGTTATGGTTTGGTTTTTGTCTGTCTCTGTTTCTTCTAATTTCCAGCTTAAATTTGTTTCTTATTTGTTCATATCCATTTTTTGTGACAACACTGTCTCAGCTTAAAAGTTTTATTTCCTTTTACCTTCTTTTGTCTCGGGCATAAAAGCAAAACTCTTCTGTCACACTACAGGCTTTCCATTCTTGTGGTCATCTTCACGGCCCTTCTCCCCACATACCTCCCAGAATTCAGTGGTTCAACCTGTACACATTATTCCAGATGAGCTCTCACCAGGTCCTTGTACAATGGCATTGTACTTCCCCATCTTTAGCAATACATCATTTGACACATCCTAGCACTGCATTTTCTCTCATGGCTGCATTATAGTGATAGCCTATTGTCAACCTGAGACTACAGCTACACCCAAGGATGACTCCATTACTGTCTTTTTCAGTTAATGAGCTTCCACGTTAAGAGTAGTTCTGCTGTTAGTCAATCAAGTGCAGGACTTTTTTTCAGTGCAATTGCACTTCTTCTTTTTTCTAACGTAGCATTCCTTAAAATCACCTGACTCTTCCTTCCATTCCAGTCACTCTGAATAGATGACACCTTCGAATTTCACATCATCAGCAAATTCCACCTGTTTATTTACTTTTTTGCATCAAAGTTGTTGAAGATATTTAGCTATTTTGGTGCCAGTGCTTGAGGAATTTCATTAGTAATTTCTTTCCCTTTCAATACATGTATTTCTGTCACCTGCTAGCCTTTGCTTATCTGCTAATAGGAAAAAAAAAGAGGCAGTAAGCTACTTTATTTTCCTATTCTATTACTCAAAAGCAGATGAACAGATACTTTGGACACATGCAGCTCTGGTTTTATGTTTATCAACTGCTTTATTTCTTGCCTGAGATCAACTTAAAAAAAAAAAATCTATGAAGTTTTAAAGGAGAAATTATATACTCAAAGCAGGACACCTGAAGTACAGTATTTACAGTCTTTACATTTTGTCTTTGTCATAACACTGTGCTTAAAAAGCCTAAAGTTCTTCCCAAGCTCTATACCACAGAATCACAGAATCACAGAATCACAGAATGGTTGAGGTTGGAAGGGATCTCTGGAGCTCATCTGGTCCAACCGCCCTGCTTAAGCAGGGTCACCTGCATACAGCAGGTTTCCCAGGATTGTGTCCAGACGGCTTTTGAATACTTCCAAGGACGGAGACTCCACAGCCTCTCTGGGCCACCTGGGCAAGTGTTTGACCACCCTCACAGGAAAAAAAAAAAGCTTTTTTTTGTGTTTAGATGGAATTTTATGTGCTTTAATTCATGCCAGTGGTCTTTGACATGTTAGTGGGCACTATTGAGAAGAGTCTGGCTTTGTCTTCTTCATTCCCTCTTGTACCAGGGAGCCCAGGACTGGACACAGTACTCCAGATGTGGCCTCATCAGTGCTGAGTAAAGGGGAAGGATCATCTCCCTCAACCTGCTGGCAACACTCCTCATAATGCAGCCCAGGATGTTGATGGCATCCTTTATCACAAGGGTGCATTGTTGGCTCATATTCAGCTTGTTTTTCATCAGGACCTTTAGTAATTTGTTTTTAGTAATTGTTGCTCACTACAGAAGTCCCCAATACAATATAACTGAGAGTGGATTTGCTCTAGGAGAATGATTTTGAAGATTTTTACAATTCTCTGCAAATTAAGACAATAAGCAACTCAAATAACTACACCATCACTATGTTGGACCCAGGGTGGAAATTTGGAACTTGTGCAGATTTGTTGAAAAACTTTCCCCCTTTTTCTTTCAGTCCTTTCTAGTGTTAACTTGAAGTGATTGACTGTATGATGGAATCTCCTATTTAATGACCTTATTAAATGTGAATGATAAATTGTAGATTCAGTGACCAAAGTTTGAGCAAATAGTTTTGGCATAGGGAAATCTTGCAAAGTAGCAATAAAGCTCCTCAGTCATTTATACCATCTTCGCTTGCTGTTGAATCCCCACTGTTGTGTCTGTGTTCCCTCTGATGCAGTCTTCTTCCCAAACTGATTTCTCACTGAGACACCACAGGGAAGCCCCTGTGAAGCAGGTTTGACCTGAGTTGAACAGTAGCCCTACGTATGTGCCTGTTTCCTCACCAAATTCAGAAGTGCAAATGTTTTCTGCTTTGCTTTTTAGACTGGGAACAAATCTCATTAGGTCCTTATGGTGTCTCTTCTGACTTTTGACCTTTTAGCCTTGGCAAGCGTGCTATTTGCCAGTCAAGGGACCACCTCTAACACAACAGCTTGGCCGCACAGGATCTGTTGCCAGCTGCCTTCACAGAGGGCTGCTGCAGACACTTAACATTCCCTGTTGGACAGATTCACACAATTTCACCCTGGAATCTGTGCCACTTTGCTACTCCAGCACAGACCAACCACTGCCCCCAGGGAAGCAGTAACCTTCTAAATATATAGTTGTCAGAATCTTAACGTTTTGTTACAGATCTGGGGGATTGGATAGTGACCCATTATTTTTCCAAGAACATTTTAAGGCCTTGCTCTATAAATATACTGAATAATTCCATCAAATACTGTATAGCATATAAGGGTCTAGCACAAAGATTACTTTTAAGCTTTGTTCTCTAAGGCCTACCATTCATTCAATATGAGATCAGAGGTTTCAGCCTATGATACTGTGAGATATGCGATTTCTCAAGATGAACACGTGATTAAACAAGTTCATCACCACATATAGCAACCTACCGCCTTAAGCTGACCTGTTATAATGCACGTGACCCAAACTCTAAGATAAAAAGCCTTGGTTTCAACCTCAGTGGATGTGCTCCAAGTTTGCAATAAGGCTGATTTAGAAGCAAACACATACTCATTTACTACCACTGAAGCAGGCAGTAGCTTGCCTGCACACTTCATCATCAGATCTTTACTGTCCAATAAAAAATACCAATGAGACACCATGAAGAGATACATGCCCATGAGTCAATGAGCAGGACTGATAAGGCAAGATGCAGTCAGGAGACCCTTTGGACAGAAAGGGAACATGTCCTTCACCATGGCAGAACATTCTTTTTCCCAGGCTCACTAAGGGCTCTCCCATTGCTCCAGATACACACCCCAGAGTCAATACACATCCTGCTTCAGCTGCTGTAAGGATGGAAGAGTAATACTGCTCAGTGCTTTTCCATTGCCAGTCCCTCACAGTTTAAGGTGATGGTCCATTTCTTCCTACAACAGTTGTAAGAGTGACAGCTGTGTTATCTACTCCTGACCTTTATAAATGTCTTTAGTTTCCCATGCTAGCACAGGGTTCCCATTTCCTCCTCTTCACCTTTTGAACATGATGTCCTAGCATAGATGGGGCAAGTGGATCTGTTTGGACTATCTTCTGAGCATAAAAACATGTCCTAATAATGCCATAATAGTGAGATCATTCATGCGTGCCGCAGTGCTGTTTCTTCTGAAGCCAAAACACCTCCAAAGCAGTTACTCCTTCTTACGTTAGACAACAAGAGTGCAATAATGTACGTAAATGAAGAGTAATGCAATGCAACAAAGATTTGGAAACTTCAGCTCTTAATTTGTGGGCGTTGCTTCCAGTCCCTGGATGTGATCATAAAAAGAAATATTTTCATATGTTATCTATAGCTGGAAAAAGTACAAGAAATTACCAGAACTGAAAGCTTTTGAAGCAATAATACTTAATATCTTCTATTGCAATGAAGTTGTTGACTGGAATATAACATTGCATTCCTGGCTCCCTAGCATTTATGTTACCATTCACTCTTGTTGAAAAATACCTACTGCTACTGTGAGGGATCTTTTTATTATTGTTGTTGTTATTACAAAATAGTCCAGCAAAATAGCATTGCAAGACTGTGAACTGTCTGTCATATTTGAATCATTTTTTCACTATAGGCTGTTTTTCAGTAAAAGTTACTTGGATTTACCAAGAATGCCCTTGAGATGTTTTGCCTGAAATGCTTATTACAGAGCAATACACCTCACATAACCCCTTGCCACTAGGGTTTAGTATCTTGTGATTTCCCAGGATTCAGCATTTTTAATTAACAATGTTCATTTTAAAAGTTAAATCTCTAAAAATACTGACATAAATGAGAGAGTAGACTTTGTACTACAGAGGAAAGAAAAAAGAATGTTTTGTTCATGGGGGGCTGCAAATATAATTTATTTCATGTTTTGCACCTTTACTCTCTTTCCACAGTGAAATCAGATGAGTTGCAAACAATCAAGAAGGAATTAACCCAGATCAAAACAAAAATTGACTCCTTGCTAGGGAGACTGGAAAAGATTGAAAAGCAGCAAAAAGCTGAAGCAGGTGGGTGAAAGCAATTTGTTGTCACATTAATTAAATTAGAACCTAGCGTGCTGGTTTTGGCTGGGATGGAGTTAATTTTCTTTCCTAGTTATCAGTCAAGCAGACAGACAAGAGAGAATGGAAGCCTTCCAGATTTTTGCTACATAATGGAGGCCTGAAGCAAGGTAAATTAACTCTCAGGTAGAACTGTTGGGAGGATGAAGTAATAGTCTTCACAGATCATGCAACATCATTTCAAGAATTGTTTTCTATGGTGCAGTAGGAAAAAAAAAGAAAATAAGAGATTCTTACTAGATGTTCTGGAAACAAAATACCACTAAAAAATTGACTGAACAGAATTAAGTTAGAGGTTGTTGATCTTAGGGATGCTTGTGCTATCCACATTAAGAATTATTAGATGGTATATATCAGGAATTATTGCCTGGGCAATAGGCAATAGTCACAAGTTTCAGCAAGGGAAATTCCTGTTTGATATAAGGAAAAGAGATGCAACTAAGCAGTGTAACAGGTTGCCAGAGGGACTATAGTAGCTCCATCCTTGGAGACGTTCAAAACTCATCAGGCCAATGCCCCATGAACCTGGACCAAACTTTGAGTTTGGCCCTGCTTTGAAGAGGGGTTGGACTTGGAGAGTCCAGAGATCCATTCCAACCTAAGCTATTTTGTGAAACTGTGGCATCTCTGTAAATCCAACCGCACCTCTAGTTCAGCTTTTCTGTGTCTTGAAATGTTTTGTTTTGAGGCAAACCTTGGGAATGACAAAATCCAACCCTGCTTTTTAATTTAATCAAGATCTTTATTTCTATCATTGCAGTGATCATTTTATTAGTTGAATGAGGTCACCTGGCAACACTTTAAAGCCATACTGAGCAGTTATAAGGAATTTATAAGGTTGTATTTTCACCACAGTGTATATAGAAAACAATCTCAGTTCTCACCACTGTCTATGGTACTTCCTTGGCAATTTCCTTTTAAATCACGTGGTGTATCTTTGTACAGGAGCTGTGTACTAGCAAGCTGATTTTGATGAGAGCCAGCGGTGAAATGGAAGCCTTATCTTGTGAAAAATCTCAATGTTCCTTTTTTTTTTTTTCCCCTCCATTCTCTGATGAAAATTTTTTATGTATTTTGTGTGAAATGTGTGAAAGAAATTCTGCCTTAAAATCCACAGCTGCCTGGGTGTCTGGGCACTCAGATTTGTGTCCCTTGCCTAACCCCAATCAGCTACGTGAAGCCAAAAAGACCCAACAGGACACATAAAGAGCGCTCCATCAAGACTATCTAAAACATTGGTGGGAATTAGTAGCTGAGGTTCATGAACCTGACACAGGCAAAATAGATATTTAGATCTGGATCCGTCCTGTTCCCGTGCCTGCCCTATTTGCTGATCTGTTTCAGAGGTATCTCTCTGAACCCAGGATTTTCCTGCTGGCATTCAGAAATAACTCTAATGAATGTCTTCCTAGGGCAGAACACTACAGAAAAATATTTTAGGGTTAACAATTAAAAAAAAAAAAAAAAACAAAAAAACAAACAGCTCTTTAAAAAACCCTACCTTTTATTTACAATCGTTTTCTAAGTTGACAGACCAATCCCAAGGACCAATCCCTCAGCTGTCATAGTTTACACCACAAAATAAGTTGAGTGCTTTTTTCCAAGTCTAAGGTAAACCTTAGTCTAAGGTACAGAGTGTGATTATCTCTTTTAGGAGAACTGTACACAATATGTATTCATTATATTCTATTTTGTACTTTATGCAAGTTAGATAAAAGTTGGTATAATCAGTGAAGATGTAATTGCAAGGCAGTCCATTGAAGTAGACTTTGTACTACAGAGGAAAGAAAAAAGAATGTTTTGTTCATGGGGGGCTGCAAATATAATTTATTTCATGTTTTGCACCTTTACTCTCTTTCCACAGTGAAATCAGATGAGTTGCAAACAATCAAGAAGGAATTAACCCAGATCAAAACAAAAATTGACTCCTTGCTAGGGAGACTGGAAAAGATTGAAAAGCAGCAAAAAGCTGAAGCAGGTGGGTGAAAGCAATTTGTTGTCACATTAATTAAATTAGAACCTAGCGTGCTGGTTTTGGCTGGGATGGAGTTAATTTTCTTTCCTAGTTATCAGTCAAGCAGACAGACAAGAGAGAATGGAAGCCTTCCAGATTTTTACTACATAATGGAGGCCTGAAGCAAGGTAAATTAACTCTCAGGTAGAACTGTTGGGAGGATGAAGTAATAGTCTTCACAGATCATGCAACATCATTTCAAGAATTGTTTTCTATGGTGCAATAGGAAAAAAAAAGAAAATAAGAGATTCTTACTAGATGTTCTGGAAACAAAATACCACTAAAAAATTGACTGAACAGAATTAAGTTAGAGGTTGTTGATCTTAGGGATGCTTGTGCTATCCACATTAAGAATTATTAGATGGTATATATCAGGAATTATTGCCTGGGCAATAGGCAATAGTCACAAGTTTCAGCAAGGGAAATTCCTGTTTGATATAAGGAAAAGAGATGCAACTAAGCAGTGTAACAGGTTGCCAGAGGGACTATAGTAGCTCCATCCTTGGAGACGTTCAAAACTCATCAGGCCAATGCCCCATGAACCTGGACCAAACTTTGAGTTTGGCCCTGCTTTGAAGAGGGGTTGGACTTGGAGAGTCCAGAGATCCATTCCAACCTAAGCTATTTTGTGAAACTGTGGCATCTCTGTAAATCCAACCGCACCTCTAGTTCAGCTTTTCTGTGTCTTGAAATGTTTTGTTTTGAGGCAAACCTTGGGAATGACAAAATCCAACCCTGCTTTTTAATTTAATCAAGATCTTTATTTCTATCATTGCAGTGATCATTTTATTAGTTGAATGAGGTCACCTGGCAACACTTTAAAGCCATACTGAGCAGTTATAAGGAATTTATAAGGTTGTATTTTCACCACAGTGTATATAGAAAACAATCTCAGTTCTCACCACTGTCTATGGTACTTCCTTGGCAATTTCCTTTTAAATCACGTGGTGTATCTTTGTACAGGAGCTGTGTACTAGCAAGCTGATTTTGATGAGAGCCAGCGGTGAAATGGAAGCCTTATCTTGTGAAAAATCTCAATGTTCCTTTTTTTTTTTTCCCCTCCATTCTCTGATGAAAATTTTTTATGTATTTTGTGTGAAATGTGTGAAAGAAATTCTGCCTTAAAATCCACAGCTGCCTGGGTGTCTGGGCACTCAGATTTGTGTCCCTTGCCTAACCCCAATCAGCTACGTGAAGCCAAAAAGACCCAACAGGACACATAAAGAGCGCTCCATCAAGACTATCTAAAACATTGGTGGGAATTAGTAGCTGAGGTTCATGAACCTGACACAGGCAAAATAGATATTTAGATCTGGATCCGTCCTGTTCCCGTGCCTGCCCTATTTGCTGATCTGTTTCAGAGGTATCTCTCTGAACCCAGGATTTTCCTGCTGGCATTCAGAAATAACTCTAATGAATGTCTTCCTAGGGCAGAACACTACAGAAAAATATTTTAGGGTTAAAATTAAAAAAAAAAAAAAAACCAAAAAAACAAACAGCTCTTTAAAAAACCCTACCTTTTATTTACAATCGTTTTCTAAGTTGACAGACCAATCCCAAGGACCAATCCCTCAGCTGTCATAGTTTACACCACAAAATAAGTTGAGTGCTTTTTTCCAAGTCTAAGGTAAACCTTAGTCTAAGGTACAGAGTGTGATTATACAAAAAAACAAACAGCTCTTTAAAAAACCCTACCTTTTATTTACAATCGTTTTCTAAGTTGACAGACCAATCCCAAGGACCAATCCCTCAGCTGTCATAGTTTACACCACAAAATAAGTTGAGTGCTTTTTTCCAAGTCTAAGGTAAACCTTAGTCTAAGGTACAGAGTGTGATTATCTCTTTTAGGAGAACTGTACACAATATGTATTCATTACATTCTATTTTGTACTTTATGCAAGTTAGATAAAAGTTGGTATAATCAGTGAAGATGTAATTGCAAGGCAGTCCATTGAATCACTTGTGTACTGAAATGCTCTGAGACGGCGCATCCTTACTTCAGGGAGTTTTTATATAAATCCATTACTATGCAAAACAACCTGCACATCATTGTACTTTGATATCCAATTTTCACTTTTGCTAAAGGACTGTAGTGAACTCATTTAAATAGAAATCAGCTCAAAGAGGAAAACGTTGATTTGTATTGAATCATACTGTTATGCCTTTTGAAGACAAGCAATGAGTAATCTCCTCAGAGATTAAAAACTGGTTTCAAATCGTTGATGTTTTAAAACATCAGGTGCAAAACTGGTCCCTCATATTCCTTGCCTCTCATCAGAGGGTGTGAGGAGAAAAAATACCTCAGAGACACCAGTAAACCTGGATCCCCATTTAAGTCTCCCGAGCTGATGAAGAGGGTTATGCAGCCTGGGTGATTAGTCTGCAGATGATTGCTTCCTCAGCTGAAAGATTTGTATAAGATAAGGCTACATCAGTACCTGAACTATTTCATTTACGATGTCAGATGCGAGATGATTTTGTTCCTTCTCTGTGGTTTGGCAATATTATTTCTTACTTTCCTCTGCCAGAAGGTGTGGCCCACTAAGACTGGGATCAGAGAGAATATCTATGTCTCGTTTACACAAAACAAAAATCAAGCCATCATCTTGCCTTTTTGGTTTTTTACGTTTGCATTACTTTCATGAGGAATATTTAATTATTAATCTTAAAAGTTATACATCTGGAGGAATGTAACAGGTTAAACAGACAAGCTGGACAAGCTCAGTGCATACCTTGGTTACTGCTCCACAGCTGCGTGAAAACTCTCCTTACAATAATGGCTGATGTTCTGTCTTTCACTATTATCAACCCCTGACCATTCCAATAGTGGGAATGGGAATATAGATAAGAGGATTTCCTGTACATAGGGAAACTGCAGGAATAGCTCCTTTGTTTGTAAAAATCTGAATCAGGAAGCCAGGGATAAGAAGCTGTTTTGATGTGAAAAAATGGTTAGAGGAGAATATTTGCCCTGTAATATCAGAGATGGGTTCTGAAAGGTAGGATCTTAAGTTTAGCTTCTCAAAAGAGCTCAAAAGAGTTAGATGCTGAGCTGGTATTTTAGACTTCTCTAAAGAACCCAGTCTATGTTCTCATTCAGACAATTAAGTAAGTGAGCTAATTTTTTTGCAGCTGTATCCTGAAAGTTTTCCCATTTAAATGTATTAAGTCCATAATTTCAGGAACCCTTTTTGAAAGCCTTGACCAAAGTTAATTCAGTTGTCACTGCCACAGCTGGGTTAATCTCAGAAGTGGCTTGAAGCAGAAGGAGATGGGACAGGGCATAGTAGGCATAGCTGATTCAATCAACATCTCCTTGCGCAGTAAGGCAAGTAACATGACTTATAACTAACATGGTATTGTATAGAGCACCTTACCAATAGATGATGAGGCTCCACGGGCTGAATCTTCTACTATGTGTGACTACAGTACTGTCAAAGCAGTTATCTAAGATGACATTTTATTCTTTAAGTCCAAGAATCTTTCTGCAGAAATTATGTGACTAAGAGAGAAAAGCTTACTTGTTATGTGTCTTCAGTAAATGGCTGAAAATGAGGGATTAGAGACTAACAAAGACTGAAGAGATGAAAGTAAGTTGCAAAATAAATGTGCCGAGGTAGAAGGAAAAACAAATGTCCTGGTTTAAGACTATGATACAGAAAAGTGTGAGCAGATTTGAATATTATATGCAGCTGGTAATGATTTATAGTAAAATAATAATAAATTCATAGAGATTAAAAATATAGAGCTTCACAGACAATCTGCAGATCCATTGCCTGTCCAACAAGATAGGTGATACACTACTAGTGTTACAGAACAGTCAATCTAACAAAAAAAGAAATGGTTTTATTCTAGAAATTTGATCGTTGATGGGTATTGTCACCCTCAGACTGAAAAGACATTGGTATTCCAGCTACAGGCCACCAATTCTCTGGCCCATATTCACTTTGAGTACATAAAGCTTTTCATCTAAACTCCTGATGTACATAGGAATAAGGCTGATCCCTCCAACGACTCTTCTGGCCAGTCTGTCTCTGTCATTCCTCCCTCAATCCTCCTCTGAATTTCTGCTGGCTGGATGAAATTCCTCAGCATATCCAGGAGTCTCACAATACATAATCGCAACAATGCAGCTATCTGCACTAAGCCAACCAGAACAGATCCTCTGGGCCTCCATGGAAATGGTCTTTCTTTTCACTGCTTTGTGGAAATTTTAGGAAGCCCTTATCTGGGTAATTGGAGAGCAGCATTCTCCAGTTACCTCGGCACATTATACCAACGGGGAGAAACTGTTACTTTACTCCATAAAAAATATGTTCAGTTGTCTAGAAGGCTTTGTTGATTATCTGTGTGATTGTTGAGCTATATTCACAGCAAATTTATGCAAATCTTTGTTCACTTATGGGCAATTAACAGCCTTCCACTTCTCAGAGCATAGAGATTTATGTCCTTCTCATTGGTTGCAGATAAATAAATATATGGTGACTATGCCAATTGGATTCCCAGGGCAAAGCAAAGTCCAGAAAATCAAAAAGCCTTCATCCACTGCATGGGATAGATGAGCATGTTGGTACTATGGTTGATTTATGCATTAATTTTTGAAAACAAGGGGTTTGATCATGTTTGCCTGGTAGATATTAACACACTGATTTTTACAAAGCTAGCTCATCTGGAGATGGGAAGCTTAGGTTTCTTCCTCAGAACACTTTTCTTTGCCATCAATAAGGAAGGCTACTGAATCTCTACAGAGTATGTTTTCCTTGCAGAAGCTCAAAAGAAACAAATGGAAGATAATGCTGATTTGATTCAAGAGGAATGCATATCAGAGAATGCAGATAACTCTACAGAAGAGCCAATTGAAGGAGGGCCAGATGCAGATGGGGATGGAGAAGACATGACTGATGGGATAGAGGAGGATTTTGATGAGGATGGCAGCAATGAGCTGGTAAGGAATAACCATGCCATGTCTGTCTATACAGTTGCTACAAGTAACCACAGAGAACCAACAATCTGCGTTAACAAAAAAAGCTCACAGCAGCACTGTGATGTTCTGTAACTAGTGCCTAGTCCTATATTCTTCATACACTGTAGTATCAGTTAAGCACAGGGCCCTCTGAGGATAAACAAGAAAAATATATTTTACTACACTTGGTGATTTTAGAAAGGAAATGAAATGTACTTTATATTGGTTTACATTTATTATTTTACATTTAATGACATGTAGATGGGGAGGGGAAGCAACCATGTTTTCCTAACTGGAGCATTTCAAAATAAGATTCTAGAATGGAAAACTTTCTCATTAGTAAACACGTGTTCCCCCATAATTCCAAGTCCCTGTGTTCCATGTGTATCTCCTGCAGGCTGCCTTGGTGGCTACAGATTTTTTTGATGGAAGGATTTTTCCCTAAGAAATGTTTAGCTAAGAAATGTTTGGGTTTTCAGCCTGAGCCTGCACCTTTATGAAATACCCACCATGTTGTTAAACTCCTAAGTTCTTCTAGAGAAACATTAAAAAATATTTTGAAAGTCAGATTTATACTTTTTTCTTCATTCCTAAGAATGGATCAGTCACATTGTTTTAGAATCTATAATACTGTCCCTCTCTTCCCAGCTTTCATATTCTCTTGCTTTGAGCAGAAATCACTTCTGTTGCTCAGTGTCACTGTTCCTGCTTGCTTTTAACACACATTTAATCATGTCTGCACTGTAAAAATCATTCAGTGATGCCATCAGAATTCAGTCAGCAATGGGCACAGCTGAACCAACACCAAGTCTGGAGTAACTGGGCATGTGAATAACCAGTGTTTTGTACTGCTTACTCCAAAAACAATTTAAACCTACTGTTAATTTGAGGGTCCGTGTCCCTTTAGCCAGCACAAGGCCCTCTTGAATTTATAAATACTGAATAGCATTATGCCCAGGAGAAGCTACTACAACCTGAATCCCCTCATCTTTTAACATGCGATATAATATAGATGATATTATCACTTTTTCTCAAAGAAACAGGTTCTCCTGTACAGGTATGAGGGACCTCTGTAAGCAGTTGCCACTCTGAATTTGTAGGAAGTTGAAATTTTGTAATGAATAAATAGTTGTAAATATAATATCCCACCATTGCTGATACCTGATCAGCTGAAGTGATATTAGCCATAGGGGTGACCACAGTTTAGCAAGACTGGTGGGTTTTGCACTAATTAGGTGTCAGACTCCCTGTTGCAGACAACTAAGTGGGGAAGTTAACGTACAGTATATTAGCCTCTGACTGTTCAGTGCTGTCATTTCACCCTGTGGGTATGACATATTTAGCATATATCTACACCATATAATGAAACATGATGTAGAAGAAATTTTTCATCTAGAAAAGGCCTAAGCAGGGAAGTTTCTAAAAAGCAAGCAACACAGGAAGATTTCATTACAGTGAAAGTCTGGAACAGGCATAGCCACATTTGCACACCACTGCTTCCAAGTTAAAAAGCCTTGCCAAGATTTATGTTATGGCATTAGTTGAAGTGCAGTGTGTGTGTGTTGCAGATGCAGCTCCAAAGACAGCTCAGAGCTCTCAGCTGCACATCTAAGGCACAGGGAGCAACCAGCTCCAGCTTCTCTGCATGCCATTACTGAGCCCCTTGAGTGCCGGGAGGAGGTGGCTCCCTGCACATGGAGAGGGGTGTCCTCTGCCTTGCGCCCTAGCACTCATGAACGATACCCTCCCAACACAACATGGTAGTAGCAAGGAAAGGCCAAGGAAGAGCGCTTATGTGCATCATCTCGGTCAAGTGCACCCCGTCCCAGTGCCAGGGCAGTGGAGCCAGGCAGCCTCATGCCTTCCACCTTCCCAAAAGCTGGGACCCTCTAGCTGAAAAGCTGGCAGTATTGCACACTTTAAAGCTCAGAGCTGAGATTGCCACTGATGTAAAATCCTTGTGCTTTTCATCCTCCCTTGTCACTTTCCTCAGGCTTTGGAAGAGGCCACTTCACCTTAGTTTTCCTCCCTGCTACGATGGGATAATAACACTTTGTTTCTTTTGCAAAGCCTAGGGAGATCAGTGAATGAAAAACTGCTATGGATTGGATAAAGGATTGTTCTACAAAAGATTACTTCAAAGAAATCTCAGGCAATGGGTGTTTCCCATGGAGAAGCAATTATAAATTGAACTGTGCATCTTTCCTCTACAGTTTTTACCCAAACACTTGGCAGTATTGGCCAGTACTGTTATAATATGAAGCTGGTAGTTTATGATGCATATTGTAATTTAGTCTGTTTTATACTTATACTTACATACATTTATGTAGAAATGATATAAGTTTTACTTTCCACTCCAATCACTGATAGCTGTATAACTGGAAAGTCAATGAGAATACTATTAAATATATGGTGAATACCCCAGTAGGCATACTGGGGATTTCAGTCTGCTTCTACCTGTCGTGTGCCCTGCTATCTGGCATTACCCTCTGTTTTGTGAAAATTAAAGTGGATAGATAAGCTTGCTATAAAACAAGAAGTCCTAACAGATGTTGTTCTCCTGTTTTATGAAAACTAAGTTATTTAGGAAATAATGCTGACTAATAGCAAATGTGTCATTTTGGAATGGAGCAAGTTACAACTCATTTGAGAAAAAAAAAGGGGGTTTTAGCACGAAAAGTGTTAAATGTGAAACAATTAGGACAAACTTTCCATGTGTAAAAACATAGCCTTGGACTCAGAATAAGAAATGCCCCTCCAAAGGGCATTTTTAAATGAAATCTATAATCTTTTCCAAGTATAAAGCTAAAGGGATTTAGGGTAATGATGAAAAAAAATCTTTTCTTTCATCACTAAGAGCAGCAAAGCAAATAGAAAAACATTTGAAATGGGCATAGTTAATGTTCTGAAGTCAGTTCAGCACCAAAAATTGGTTGTGAGTCCACTAGTCTGAAAAATATTATTAGAGGGAGCGAGCAACATGACTTAAATTTAGATCTTAACATTTTTTTTGCAGTGTTTCATATTTAGCTGTAAATCTCCTGCCAAGCCATTTGACAATAACCTGCTGCAGGATTCTTTTTGCTGAACGTGATACCCTGTTGTCTCTTTTTTGTTTCCCCTGTGACCATCCCTAAGGGTGTCAGTAAAGGGAAGTGTTCAATAAGGACAGGCCTGCTGCCAGAGTCCAGATGCTGCCAGAATGGAGCCTCTGAACCTGTGTATGTGGGTCTGCATCTTTGGACTAGAGGACTCAAAAATACATTTCTTTCTCTATTTCTAATTCTAACTTGCAAAGGAAGTGATTATGCAGGATGCATGCTGTGGGTTTAGGTGGAAGGATCAGTTCTCTAAATTCACACACTGCCTATTTGGAAGAACAGGTTACTGCACATCAACTGAGTGATGGCAGCTGTCCTCATGCCTGCTTTCAGCCTACACCAACTGTAAAGAAATGCGAAGTAGATTAGCCTGCAGTTTGAGTTAAGTCAGGCATGGATTTAAGGAGTCTTTAGCCTCTTCATTTGCCTGCTGGCTGCACACACGAAAACACATCACATTCAACAGCTGTATACCTTCTTCATCCACCATTTAGATTGGGATATTGTTCATCCCTGCATTGTCATTTTCTATGGACTAAAGACACGCCCACAACCAGTCGCTATGGCTCAGCTGAAGTGTGAAAAAGTTTTACACCACAATAACTTGATTGCCCATCTAAACTCTAATTCAAGACATATTGCATTTGAAGCATCTGCTACAGTCATCAAACCACCTCTTGGGAAAGTTTCTTTTGTACCAACTGTTTGCCCACAAAAGTGTCTCAGTAAGCGTCTCCAGTGCTGCAGACACTCCAGCTTGAGGATCTTTTTAGAACAATCCCCAAAGACTTCTGCTGCACTGACATACTGAAGAGTTCTTTAAATGGTGATTTCAGATATATGATCCAGCTATGTACGGATATGCTAGGAGAGACTGACAGAGTCAAACAGTTGACTTCAACTTGCTCAGTGAAGAGTGTCATATGCTTCACACCCACCTGCTCTTACACTTTGGCCTTCCACTGCCCCTTGTACAAGTAATCACTAACTTGGAATCATAGAATCATAGAATCATTAAGGTTGGAAGAGACCTCTAAAATCATCGAGTCCAACTGTCAACTCAACACCACCATGCCCACTAAACCATGTCCCTAAGCGCCTCATCTATATGTCTTTTAAATATCTCCAGGGATGGTGACTCAACCACTTCCCTGGGCAGCCTGGTCCAATGTTTAACCACTCTTTCAGTAAAGACATTTTTCCTCACATCCAATCTAAACCTCCCCTGGTGCAACTTGAGGCCATTTCCTCTCGTCCTAGAATTCCTAGGAATGTAGCTCCTGAGCTTACTCTACAACTCATGTCACTTAACTGATCATCAGAGGTAGCTGGGGTGGATGAAAACTTCAGGTCTGTTTCCTTTGCTTCTTTTAGATAAAAAAAAAAAAGTAGTTGGCTATCCCAGATTTTACAAGACCCATGAATCAGGCTTTCTATCTATTCCTCGCATTGAACAGTTTCTAGTTGCAGTGAATTAAAAATCTTTGTGTTCCCTCCTAGTGCGAACACATCCACTTTTATTGCTTTTAATCTAAACTGTACCTCAATAGTGCTGTGTGGAAAACAACACACCTACATAGCTTCCCATCTTGCCTTACAGAAAACAAGCTCCTATGAAGAAAGATCTTCACGTTTACTAAATTCACCTCATATACAAATCACAAACAGGCCACAAATCATCAGAACACAACTCATCAGTGATATTAAGCAGCTTTCAGGTGCCTGGCATGGATTTAAATTGTAAGGAGTGGGAAGGAAAGATAATAACCTCCTCTTATTCCTGTGGCTGCACAGCAGTGTCCTGGTTTCGGCAGGGATAGAGTTAATTTCCTTCCTAGTAGCTGGTACAGGGTTGTGTTTGTACCTGTGTTTGTGTGGATT